TTCAGTGAAATTTAAATTTTTTTACGTGGTCAAAAAAATTTTAATCAAAATGAATGCGATTCATATAGTGATGTTTGATACCTGTGGCCACCCATATCGTGCTCATATATTGATGTTTCATATCAAAATGAATGGGATTCATAGTATATTTGTTCGTAGGAAATTGCACGTCATAAGCACTCGACATTGGCTCATTTCAAGGAAACATTTTCTCAGTCTTTCCATCAAAATGGTAAGCTTCGTCATGTACATCATTATGTGTCCGTAATACGTGTCAATAGTTCTTTACATATTCGCATAACCTTCCTACTTGTCAGTATAAACGTGGAGGTCATTCGTATAGAAGACAAGCCTCTTCCTCGTCCTCGTCCCCGTCCCTTTCCTCTTCCCCTATCCCGTCATCTAACCCTCAACCACAATATGGTCCGTCACAATATGGACACGTTGGCCCTTCCTCCAACACTCAACAACATGTTACGGGACTTGGCCACATGCGAACTGAATCTCCTCCAGTTCAATCTCCTTTAGCTCCCTCTCCTTCCGTTCCACCCCATTATTCAGCGGAACAATCGAATATTGACGGAAACACAGGTCAAGAAGATAACCGATTCTTCATATGCCCATTTGGAGATTCGTAAGTACTTCATTTTTATTTTAGTATATGTAATATTTAGGGCTTTAGATATTGATGTCAACTGAATTGTCGATGTTGCACAATATCCGTATGATTGCAGATTCACGGATGCTCCGTCTGTTGTGAGGGAATTGAACAAAATAGTAAGAAACTTTTGGATGGGAGAGTATATTAATTACAGAAGTGTTCCACAAGAAGTGAAAGAAATGTGGTGGAATGAGTTCAAGGTAAGTTTTACATATTTTATTTTCTCATCAATTAAATTTGGTGTAGTATATTGATGGTCAAGAATGATGTAAAGGGACCAGAACAACTCTGTAGTTTTCGATACCTAAAGGACCAGATATTTTCCCCAACATGAACTTTACAAAATCTGTCTATATTTGTCTGGTGCATGGTTATGGATATGTGATCATCATAATAACTTTCAATTTGTGTTTTTATTCATTGCAGCGGAAGTTCAAGTGGGAGGAAGCGGAAGACAATGAAGTGAGAAGAATTTTCGATAAGAAAAATAGTGATTATATGCGAAATGTCATGAATAGAGCGAAGATCAAGCAAGTGAAGCCGTCTTTCTTTACAGCTGACAATTGGGCAGCAATTAACAGATTTTTGGCATCTGAACAGAGTTGGCAACTCTGTGAGCAGAATAAGAAGAATCGATCTTCTAGCTCTAGTGATGGGTCAGCCACATATGCTGGGGGTTCTATCAACATTGCGGAGCATCGCAAACGACTGGTAAGTCTGTTAAATGAGTTATAAGTTAATTTAATTCAATTACTCATGTTTACATTTTGTAGGCACAAGAATTGGGGACGGAATCCACATTTGCAGCTACATTTGAACGCACATTTCAAAAGAAAGATAAGACATGAACCGGCGATCGAGCAAAAGCTATTAAGGTATGTAAGGTTATACTTTGACTTATATGTAAACTATAATGAAAATCGTGAATGCTTTCAATATTTATGGTAGATATATGTATATATATATATATATAGTGATTTTATTTTCATCTACATTGTTAATGTAGGAAAAATATGATGAACTTTTAATGAGCAGTGCTAGTGGTAGTGATGATTGTCCTGAGTCTAGGCCACCAGTTGATAATATGGCATTATGGATGGAGGCAACGGGTGGGGTGAAAAAAGGGAAAATATTTGGGATGGGATCGTTGTTAAGGATGTACATGCCGAATAATCCTGGAAGTTCATCATCCACTGCGACTGGTCGAAGGAAGCCACGACAAGACAAGCAATTGACCCAAGAAGTGCATCGTCTGAATAATTTACTTGTTCAAAAGGACGAACAAATAAATAACTTAGAACAACAAATGAGACTCGTTATGCAACACCTTAACCTCAATCGCTACGACGATCCTCCTGTACCTACAGCCAATCCAGTAGGTGATGGGCACAATGATGACCAATACATTGATGCCGAGAATGCTGATGATGATGATTTTCTCCAGTCTTTCTAGTTACAATTCTCAAAATCGAGGGTAAGCTTACTTCATAATCTTGGTTTTTCATAATTTCACTCATATTCATAAGTAAGAACATTTATGTTCGTCCTGAAACGTATTTTTGTTAACCCTCTTGTTATTTTACACCTAGTTCCACATTCATGCATAAACGCTTCTTTTATATTCTCGGATCGATTTATGTATCGACATTTCCTCGTGTCTCGATAAAAGTGACTACTTTTGGTGTCCCGCCATCGTACCAAAGTCTGCGTCTTCTTGTGTATGGTTTTTTCGCGTCTTCTATGGTTGTCCCGTCTCTTAGTTCATGTTTTGAATGTATTGTAAGATTGAATATCTAATAGCATCATGTCAGACTCTGTAACTTTCCTTCAGTTATTTGTTTCAATTATATGTTATTGTGGCTTGTTTGTCAGAATTTATGGTTTGTTCGTTTTTCTGTTTCAATTATATGTCATTGTCTCCTTTGTTTGATATGGACAAGAATTTATGGCCGAAACGATGTAAACATAGCGACGAATATTTTAAGCCGAATTTTGCGATCATTACAGTTCGTCGCTAATTTGCGACGAATACATTTTTCAACGAATTTTTGCGACGAAATTTGCGACTAATTTTGCGACGATTTTGCGACGAAATTTGCGACGAATTTTGCGACGAAATTTGCGACTAATTTTGCGACGATTTTGCGACGAAATTTGCGACGAATTTTGCGACGAATTTTGCGACGAATTTTGCGCGAATTTTGCGACGAATTTTGCGACGAATTTTTGCGACGAATTTGCGACGAATTTGCGACGAAATTTGCGACGAATTTGCGACGAATTTGCGACGAAATTTGCGACGAATTTTGTGACGAATTTTGCGACGACTTTGCCACGAATTTTTGCGACAAATTTGCAACGAATTTCCGACGAAATTTGCGACGAATTTTGCGACGGATAGAGTTCGTCGCAAATCTGCGACGAAATATTTGCGACGAATTTTGCAACGGATTGTATTCGTGGCTAATTTGCGACGAATTTATGTTCGTCGCAATTTTGCGACGAACTTTTAAATTTTCCGTCGCAAAATTTTGCGACGACCTAGTAACGACGGAATTTTTTCCGTCGCAAAAGTCGTCGCAAATTCGGTTTGCAACAGATTTTTTCAAATTTTCCGTCGCAAATTTCGTCGCTAATCCGGTGTTTTTTTGTAGTGCAAATTTTGGCAGAAATCCCTTGTTAGGTCGAGGCCATTATTGAAATTAAAATTTCAAGTGAATGGGTCTTAAAACAAAAATAGATTCCCTCCACATGTTAGAGCCCAACGTGCCCTTCCATCGATGACCCATCTTCGTTTTGGGACGTAAAATTGAAGTTCCTAAATTTTCTTAGGCCCAAGTCAGAACGGCTGGCCAAGATCCACCCTAATCATTCCTCGCTAGGCTTTACCTCCAACGCATAAGAGTTCATTTTAAAAGAAAAGAAAAGAAAAAGAAAAATGTTAACGGAGTTGCTCGATGCGAGATCGCGCCCATGTGAATGTGGGCGGGGGCGACGGCGACGCACTACCTTCCTCATGGACCATCCTTCCATCCCTCCCGATAACTATCTGATCTCGATGGCGGTGAGATCGCTGCTGTCATAACGAGAGATTATCCGGTCAATTGTTTTTTTTTTTTTCGGTAACCGAGGATCCGCCACCATTCTCCGGGAACGAGCCCGCACAGTAATCTGGGCGCCTAAACCCTGGGAGACTATTTCAAAGAACATACCGCTGTGGCCCCACTTAAATTACGGAACCGAACTTGGAGATTCGAACCCAGAACCTCTGAGGAGGGAAGGAAAGCGCCCACCAACTCGACCATGCGCAGGTGAGTAAATTATCCGGTCAATTGTTTTCGGCCAATCTAAAGAAGAAAAGAAGAAACGTATATTTGTCTCCCAAAAGAGGAGGCATCGGGTTATATGAGTGGGTTAAAAGTGGGAAAAGCTTAACTAACGCAATGATGATAATGATAATTACTCTTTTGGGCCGACACATCAACTCATCAATTCCCATCGAATTCTTTCCTTAACTAATGTTCGGATTCGTGTCCATTTTTGGGGTCAAACCCCCGGTGACGTGTCATCCACGGACAAACTTTTTGCCAGGTCGGCCGATGTCACGGGCCCTCCACGTGCGGTCGAATAAAAACGTCCCTCAAGCATGCGTTTCGCGAAAAAAAAAAAATCAATTATTTATAAAATAAAATTTCCACGTTTAATCATTATCGTCGCCCATAAAATATATTTTCACAATTAACAATAATCCACTTGTAAATATTTTCGGTTGCTTCTTTTCATGCGAGATACAAATGATTAAAATTAGGGAAAATCTTTACCTAAACCATTGATTTTCCGTGGACCAAATGGGAGAGCTGCGGTTTTTGCATCAAACGCCTAATCCGCTCCAAATATCACGCATTTAGCCGGATATTACATAATTGAAAAGGAATGCGAAGAATGTTCGAGCCATTCGTAGATATAATAACGTGATTGTCCGTCGAATCAATCGATCGGAAGTTAGCACGAGTTTCGGCTCGAATTAATCGAGAGATTCGGGAGAGAGAAACATTAAAAAAAAAATCATTGCAAGAGCAAGAAAATGAATTGATTTTTTTTTTCTCTGGAAAATAAAATCAGAAGACTTATAATGATTTTTCATATGAACTTATGAATTCGGGGACGAAACCTTTGCAATCTTTGACCTTTTTGGCTTCTTCTTGCTTTGCGTGCTTTTTCCAGTTGCGTGGAGAAGGGCGAGAGATCTATCTGTATTGAAAAATAAGAAAGGAAAAATAAAAATAAAAAAAAGGAAATAAATTAAAAAAATTATTCTTCGGACACGACACCCAGGAAGGAGAGAAGCGAATTAGCTGAACTTCGTGCTTCCTCTGTTCCTCCATCCGTATCCTCCCATGGATCTTCTCTCTTGATTTGACCCAGAGAGAGAGAAGTAGTGATCTTGGTCGATTGCTTCGTCGCTGCTGCCTGGTGGGTTTCGCCCTCCGAGGGGGTGAGGTATAGAGTGGTGGGTGGGTGGTGGGTGCGATGGCGATACTGTACGCGCTGGTGGCGAGGGGATCGGTGGCGCTGGCGGAGTTCAGCGCGGCGGCGACGAACGCCAGCCAGATCGCCCGGCAGATCCTCGAGAAGATCCCCGGCGCCCACGACAGCAACGCCTCCTACTCCCAGGATCGCTACATCTTCCACGTCCGGCGCACCGACGGCCTCACCGTCCTCTGCATGGCCGACGACACCGCCGGCCGTTAGTTTTCCCCCCCTTCTCCCTGCCCTCGATTCGTTTCTGGGTTGTGTGCCGATTGGCCCCGTTTCGATGCGTTCGCCTGCCTGAAGTTAGAGCCTTTACAAAAAATGAATTTTGCCCTTTTTTGACCGAGCAATCGAGCTGCTTGATTTGATGAGTCTTCGCAGTTCGTGCCTATTGCTATCGTATCACGTGTTCCCTGTGAGACTCGGACGCAGCAAAGTGACGCTGTGTCCACAAAGATGCGGCTTTTAGAATTAATTGCCTATCGCCTTTGATTAAAAACGTGATCTTTCCCCTCTTTCATCTCGTTATCGAGTAGGTGAAATTCACGGAGCTTGATTAGGATTGGACCTGGACATAAGTGATTTGTAGTTTTGCCTTACACCCATTTTAGTCTAGCTCTCTTACTGAGCTTATTGCGGCAGTATCACTAGCATTCTGAATTAGAGTTTCAGTGGTGCTAATGAGATGCTTGGATGTGCCTCTCGAGTTTCCGTCTTTGGGTTGCTGGACCTGGATCTTTGTAGGCTGTACTTCCTCTTGTGCTTCTGAAGATATGACCGCCCTGTTCGCAAAACTAGCAAACCCGCAAATAAGAATTGGGGCTAGTATCTTACTACCTAAGCATCTTTTTCAGTCTTTGATGGATTCTTTATTCCGAATTCTTTCTGTAATTGGGCTGAGGGGACACAGGATCTAGCTACGATCAATCTACCAGGATGATTTGAACAGTTGCATTCTCTGTTTCCCGCTGCTAGTTTCATGTTATTAAGGGTTTGCTCCCTATCTTGATTTTCTATCGAATTCCTAAGTTGAAGCACTCTGGTTATTCCCATCGATTAGTCATAGCTTGGTTTCAGATTACTTTCAGTAAGAGATTTGGCTGTTGTGAAGAGTTATAGAGCTTTTAGTAGGCTTAGTTTAGATTGAGAAGATCCCCAGCATTGTCTTCTTGATCCCCTCCTGTGATTGCAGACAGTGTGGTCTAGCGTGTTGTTTGCCTCTTTCTCCTGCTTTTCTTTTAGGATAAGGAAAGAGAAATGCTAAGTGAGCTTGGTTTATTGTATACTTAGTGATGTGGTAGAATTTTACTGGGTCTTGAATATGGTCTACTTGACCAAATGCCCATTTACAGTCTATCCATCACTTATAATATCAAATTTGTAAATCAGTCTTAATATATTTTAGCGTTGCTCATAAGCAAAACTTCTGTCGCGGGATATGTGAATTCCCATTAAGTTTTAGCATGATTTGTCATATTCATTGCAGATTTGACAGCTTATTCATAAAGAGAGATCTTCAATGCTGTAGATGAATAGTTTCTGCAACAGTTGCTAATTTGAAACCGTTTATACTTGACTATTGTCTATTTAGTTCCAGCATTATGCAATATCCTTAGACATCTTTCTGGTAGATCTCCACTAAGTTCAGGTTGTCAATTATGTGCAGGAAGAATTCCGTTTGCCTTTCTTGAAGACATCCATCAGAGATTTGTTAGGACGTATGGCCGTGCAGTTCTTTCCGCTCAGGCTTATGCCATGAATGATGAATTTTCAAGGGTTTTAAGCCAGCAAATGGAATATTATTCCAATGATCCAAATGCGGATAGAATTAATCGGCTGAAAGGTGAAATGAGTCAGGTAAATTCAGAATCCTTGTAACGTAATATAATGTCAATGGGTGTATGTCATCAGCTTTTCACCAACTAGCGTTTTCTGTTATTGCATCTGAAGGCTAGTCAATGTTTAGATTAAGCAGTGTACCTAATAAATTGATGATTTCATAATTCAGGTTGATCTCTATCAAATATAAGTATAATGGATATATGATGTGTATGTAGTAAATTACTGACTTTTCATGCTTAAAAATTAACGTGGCGGGTATGCATTGGCTCAAAATATTGGTTTTTGAATTATTAGGGTAGAAGTTCCTTTTTGCTGACATTGGTGTGCCTTAGGTCCGAAATGTCATGATTGAGAATATTGACAAAGTTCTGGATAGAGGTGATCGCTTGGAATTGCTGGTTGATAAAACTGCCAACATGCAAGGAAACACCTTCCGGTTCAGAAAGCAGGCTCGTCGCTTCAGAAGTAATGTATGGTGGAGAAATGTGAAGCTCACGTAAGTTCTGAGTTCTTTATCAATTTAGAATGCTCTTGGGTGAATCCAAATGACCATCAGTTATGTTTCATGTAAACTCTGGTCTGAAGGCGACTAAAACTTGATTTCATTGCAAAGTGAAATCACTAAGAATTTATGCTGATGAGTCAAATGTTATTACATTAAGCTTGTTGAAAACTGCAATGAATTCACATTATATGGTCGAAGCTTGCTTTCTTTCTTTCCATCAATAGTACCCAAAACATATCGGGCACAAAATAAAATTTTCACCTGAGCCCATGGTTTTGCTACTTCCCAATTCTTGAAAGAGGCAGGGCTTTGGATGTTCTTCTTTGTTGTTACTAATACAGTGTTATTTCTGACACTTTGCAGGGTTGCGCTTGTTATTCTCCTTTTGGTAATTGTTTATGTTGTACTAGCCTTTGTGTGCCACGGCCTTGCTCTACCATCCTGCATAAAGTGATGATCAAAGATTGGTGAGCTCTTGAGTATTTTTCTCCTTGCGATTGATTTATCCTCCCCTGTTTTTTTGTTCTTTGTATTTAGGTGAAATTGGGGATTGTTGTAAGGTGTTTGGGTTCTCTTATCCAGGATCTGAAGTACTTCCTTGTGTGGTCGTGTGTGTTTCTAATAGAGAGTAGAAAGAGATTTAGGTCTCTCATCTACCGTATTGTGGCTTGATGAGTCAAGACCAACAAATTTTTCTGGTGTAAAATCATAGAGATTGCTTAGACTCTGGATTCTTTTCTTCAATGATGAAAGTCAGCCAATCTAGGGTACATCGTTTGCTTTGATCCATGTGTGTGTGGCCAAAGAGGAGGAAGAATCTATAGAGGAATGCCCCAACTCCTGATGGAGCTATCAAGACCGTGTTCTTGAGCCTTTTTAGACGCGCTGATATGAATTTGTGAACATTCAATCAGTATTAGCAGCAATTTCTGTGATTGCAAGATTTACTTTTGCCGGTATAACTCAGTTGACTGAATCGCGGATTTTTCATCCAGTGACTGGTAGTAGTGACTGTTAATTCTTCGAACGTTAGTCATTTTGATTCTTTCACTGGTCACTTCTCAAATGTGTTGGTAAATTATGAATTATGTAGGGTTGTCCTTGTTGAGGGATGTGAATTCCCATGGTGAGAATGTGTGAACGAGAGATGAAGAAACTCTTCGTTCCTGCCGCAACTGAAATAGTGCTTTCCCTGTCCAACAGTGGTTTAAATGTCTAAGAGGCAATCTTAAGCTTAACCAGCTCACGAATATCAATGATAAGGACATAATTTTCCAAGACCTTGTTCATCAAAGAAAGGCATTAACAAATCGACAAAGTAAATGCAGTTGCGCACTACAGGGTAATGACAACTTCAGGACTGAGGAAATGTCTGATTTTTAATGGGACATAGGTTAAATATAACAGAATGATCCTAAGGACACCTTGTGTTTCATACCAATTCATAAGCGTGGCCAAGACGGATTCAAACCGAAATTTTGTTTACCTAAGAGTCCGAAATCCTAAAACTACGATGTCCCGCCTTTAGCTTCCGCAGATAAATGACTTCATTTCGTATTCGTTAAGAGTTTTGACCGGGGTAGTGTTGGTAACTGCAATCTTTGCTGCCATATGATTTTGAGGCGATTGATCTTGATTGATTAAGTAAACAAACGAGTCATATTCATGTACTCGATAAGTTTTTATCACATTTCTCTAGCATCATTCTTAAGAAAAGGAAATTGATTAACACTTATATACAAAAGCACGTTATAATCTTCCATTTTTCACATTACAGAAGTATACATATATTTTTTGTCTATTGGAAAGATTTCTTACGTTAAAAAAAGAGGAAACGCAATTTAAGTCACTTGGGCCTCTGAGTTCCATGACTTTCTATTAATTTTCATGAATTTTAAGGGTAAACTAATACTTGAAATTCTTTATGCCACCACGGAACGTCACAGAAGCAAAAGAGTGTTGCAGTAACGAAATGCCCGCGAATGTCGCGTGCAAACTGGTTTAACCCGAGAGGAAGGCATAACACAGTCGAAGAAAAGAATCGAATTCAAAACAGAGATCCAGTATTATCGTTCATAATTCATTGGCATTCCGTCAAACGATCAGTCGAGCTCAATCACATCCATCTCAAGTCTCACCCCCAACGAGCTCTCCTTCAACAATGCCACTTACTACTGCTCATCACATGATCCCTTGAGCTAGAATTCTTGCAGAATCTCGTGTTCAGACCCATCTAACATCTTGCACAAAACGAGGAAAAGAAAAAGAAGAAGAGAAGAATGGGTTTCGTCTCCGGCCTGATCGTTGGATTAGCTCTCGGCATTGGGTTGGTTTTCGCTTTCGCTTATTGTGAGAGTATCCGATCCAAGCGTCGTTCCGATTTGGTATACACATATACCTGCCTCTCATAATATTTATTCTCTCTTGATTTTGGTGTGATTCTAATATGTTGTCACCTTGGTGATCTTAATCTGTCCGTGCGTGCATGCATGCATATGGACAATATATAAGCCTCTGCTGTTTTTGATTAATTTGTTTCTCTGTCTCTTATTCTGTATATTTTTCTGATGTGTTGAAGGCGGCGACGATCGCGGCGTTTGCGAGGATGACGGTGGAAGATTCAAGAAAGATCCTGCCAGGCGAGTGTTACCCTTCTTGGGTTGTCTTTACTCGGCAACAAAAGTTGAGTTTTTTTTCGTATACACAATTCTTACTGTTTATTTCGATATAATCATGGATGAATTATCATTTTGTGGATGTATAGTCATTAAGTTTGTATCCATGTGTATGTGCGCGCGTCATTTCGTGTGGCACTTCATTGTAAGAAACTAAGTGTCAAGCCGCACAAACTGATTATATTTTAATGAAGCGATTGCTCTGAGACTTGTTTCTTTTACTAATTCCAGTTAAATTGGCTCAATATCCAACTTAAGAAGATTTGGCCTTATGTCAATGAGGTATTTAATCTCTCTTCGCCCACCACCTTCATCAATCTTTCTGTCGTTATGATATATACAGGTGATTGGCTGTTGTTTTTCTCTTGTCCTAATAATGTTTCTAATCATCCAATGCCCCAGGCAGCTTCCGAGCTGATACGAAGTACTGTAGAGCCAACTCTCGAGCAGTATAGGCCAGCTGTCTTAGCATCTCTCAAATTCTCGGAGTTGACTCTTGGGACAGTGGCTCCTCAATTCACAGGTTCTTGTTTTCAAATTAGTACATTGGTACTAAGTAAAAAGTCCCATTGCATGCTGAGAAAGAATCAAGTTCATGATGCACAGAAATGAATTGCTTGATACCCCTTATCTGTCAAGTAAGCATGTCAGACGAATCATTTTTTAAAGTAAATGCAGATTAACATCGCAAAATGAGCTCTTTACGAGCCTTTATTATAGTCTAATAAGCAACTCGTATCTCCTGTTATTCTCATCAACACCAACTGGTTGGGTACTTTACTCTTCTTAATGAAGTTAATAAAATATCTGATAATGAAGCCATCATTGTTTTGAGGGAAAGAGAATTATTACATTGAAATTAGTAAATGGGAGTAACATAAGCTATTTCTGGGGTTTTTCATCGGTGAACACGATATTGAGCTCCATTGGAAAAATTGGCTAGACTCACATATCACGTGTACCAGGAATTTGGATCGTTGATGCTGAAAGCAAAAGTGGGCAAGTCACCATGGAGTTGGAAATGCAGTGGGATGGTGATCCTCATATAGAACTTGATATTAGAACGCGAGTTGGCGTAGGCTTGCCTGTGCAGGTAATTCTAATCACTGCTTTTCGCTGCATGGGCCTTTGTCTCCCATTTCAGGTCAATGTCCAATTTTCCTGCAACCATAAGCAATAGACGACTACAAATTTTCTTTGCTTATAAAAAAATACAAAATTTCTTTTAAACAATGACATTTGTTCGTCTCAGGCCTCTTAGATTGCAATAAAAACTTGTTTTCCTGGAAGAATTGAATGTAAAAAGTGTTCCATAGATGTTGTAGCACATTTTTATCTTGCTTTGACAGCTAATATTCACAGTTGATTTGGTATAGGTGTTTTTTAAAGCTGGCATTCGGGTCATGCTGCAAGAGTAACTTATAGTATTCTCACTGTGTCACCCTGTTGTATAGGTGAAAGATATAGGATTTACTGGGGTTTTCAGGCTAATTTTCAAGCCGCTAGTGGATGAAATTCCTTGCTTTGGAGCTGTTTGTTATTCTTTACGGGAAAAGGTGAGATTTTTAGTTTCTTTTCTCTCACCCTCTTGATCATCTAGAATACCATATCATGAGACAGAGTACTTTAAGGTCTAATCTTTCAACATGGGTTTATGCTTTGTTGGACCCTCTATTTGCACAACGTACTGCATTCGACGCTCACACTTGGTGCTCGTTCTCGTGCCCTTTCTAGCAGAAGAATGTTGACTTTAAACTAAGCATTGCTGGCGGTGATATAAGAACAATCCCTGGGGTTGCTGAAGCTATCGAGGTCTGCTATTTTCACTCTCCTTACTATTTGTATTCTGTCCCAATGATCCAGATATCACAGAATGAGTGAATAAGGCCTTTATGTTCCTGGATTTCCTTAGAAATAGTTGAGAATGACAGAAATATGGATGGACCATTTGGAGAAACTGTAGATCGTGACAAATAGCATTGTGAAAACTGCAAGAAACTGAACTCATAGGTTGCTCTAGGCTGTTGTTGGAGCAAAATGCGTCCATTTGGCAATTTTTTACAAGTGTGCTCACTCGATCAATGAAATCATGTATGCGTTTTCAGGAAACAATACAAGATGCTATTGAAGACACGTTGACATGGCCAGTGAGGAAGATTGTTCCCATACTGCCTGGGGATTATAGGTACAAATCGATAAGATCCTTCTAGATATCAACCTATGATGGCAAATTCACTTCATTGTTGTCTTCACATTCCTGATTTACTCTGCTGTATGGATACATCTGAAAAATGCAACGCTTGAAATACTATAATATTTTTTTTTGTTCATAAATCTTGCTAGGCGCACGCTTTGTATCCCTGGCCAATGCTGTTAAATGTTAGAACATCACTAACAAGCTGTAGGGTGCTTAAAATGAAGGCATGACTAGCACACTTTCTGTATCCAGCGACAAAGTTGCTTAAGAAAAGTGACGTCCGCAACTATTTATCCTTTTTCTACATAAGAAATGCTCTTATACCAATGCGGATTGTTGGGTGTTCTTTGGCTATGCTCTGTAACAGTGACTTGGAACTGAAGCCTGTTGGGACATTAGAAGTGAAGCTTGTGCAAGCAAAGGACTTAACCAATAAAGATCTTATCGGGAAATCTGATCCATTTGCTGTTCTATTTGTGCGTCCGCTGCGGAGCAGAATGAAAACTAGCAAAACCATTGTAAGTGAACTAACTTGCTCCTTCCGTACTATTAAGAAAGAAAATCGGCTCATATATACCTGTTTGAATTCTTTCTTTACGGGAAAAGCAATAGTTAATTCCCTTGTCTCGGTGTTATCAGAACAACCAGTTAAATCCAGTATGGAATGAGCATTTTGACTTCATAGTCGAGGATGTATCGACCCAGCGCTTAACAATAAGAGTTTTCGATGATGAAGGCATTCAAGCTGCTGAACTCATTGGTTGTGCTCGAGTGCCATTAAATATCCTTGAGCCTGGCAAAGTGAAGGATGTTTGGTTAGACCTGGTGAAGGATCTGGAGGTGCAAAGAGATACAAAGAACCGGGGTCAGGTCAGATAGCATCCTGGATTTTCCCACA